CAGTTTGACAAGACTGTCAACCAGGAAGAGGGCCAGCAATGGAGGAGGGGGCGTACCAAAGAGACGATATAATCACAAGCAGAACTGGTTTGTTCCACTTTGGAGTAAGCTGTTGGGGGAAGAATCAGTTTTGTTGTGTGTTTCCTTGACTGATGAAGCCTTCCGGACCGAAGGCAAAACGTTTCAGCACCAAAAAAAAAAAAGAAACTATCCAGATGACCTGACTGAAAATTGTTGGATTGTATACCTGGATTATTGAGCATTGACTTTGTTCTAACATGCATGTTTTTATTCTGTGGGAGAAAACTGTAGTACCCGGAGAAACCCCACACATGCACAGAAAGAACATGCAAACTCCACCCAGAAAGGTCCCTGACTGGGATTTGAACCGGTTACCTGCTCACTGAGAGGCAGCAGCTCTACCCACTTCACCACCGTACCACCTATTAGTGTTTGTGAATTGTTTTGTCAGAAGACGTCAATAATGTTGGATATCATAATTGAAAAATGTTTTTCTTTCCTCTAGTTCAATGTTTTCTTGGATTAAAAAACAATAATTCAGGTGTTAGTATTTAACTTTTCTTTTCCAGAAGGTAAAAAATAAAAGAAATGAACAGATCTTCAACACACCTGTCTTGTCTTTATGTTTTTTCCAGGAGTTTGATCCTGAGGAGTTTTACCAACGTTTGGAGGCTGCTGAGGGTGAAGCCAAAGTAAGCCAGGGCATAAAAACGGACATTCCCAGATACATCATCAGCCAGCTTGGCCTCACCAAAGATCCTCTGGAAGGTGAATGTTTTTTTTATTGTAGCTGACATCAAAGATGTTTTTGCTGATGTGTGTTTGTATGCAACATTCGTAAAATGTCTTGTGAATCAGTAGACCCACAGTTCAGCAGGTTTTATTTCAGAAGCTTTGTAAGCAGTCTTGAGTGATGGTACCATGGAGTCCTGTGTAGGTCTAAACCCACAGCTCCTACCACCCCTCCTTGGTCCAAACTAGACTCAAGTATTTCTATAAAATAACCCGTAGTTTCTGCAGAATAATTTGGTCTGACTCCTAGCTTTTTGGGATGTGGTAAGTAGTTGTTTTGTTTGTTTTTTTTCTTCTTCAATTCAATTCAATTCAAAAATACTTTATTAATCCCAGAGGGAAATTATTTGCTGTTGTAACTCGTTATCCTCATTTCATTAAGAGATGTTATAGACACTGATGGCTGTAGGCAGGAAGGATCTCTTGTAAAGGTCTATCCCACAGTGGATCCTAAGAAACTGGCTGCAGATGCCGTTCGATCCGTCCACCCAGACTCGGCTGGCCTCTCGGTTCCCCCGGGCTGTAGGACCGTCTGAATGCTGGGCAGAACTCCTCCCAGAGCGATGGCCACTCCTCCCAGCAGTCTGCCGAGCTCCTTGTCGCTGCGGACAGCCAACTGTAGGTGCCGAGGAACGATCCTGTCCTTCCGCTGTCGTGAGTCGTGTTTCCTGCTAGTTCCAGGATCTCAGTGGTCAGGCACTCAAGCACAGCTGGCAAGTAGATGAGAATGCGTCCACATAACATCCTTTTCAACTCATTTGAGATTTGGGGCTGTAGTTGAGATATTATTTGAGCTTTTGAGATGTTAATCAGCTGCTGGTTGTAGAAAACTGCCTTGTTGCCATGGTTACGCATCATAACAAATGTCCAAAACTAAAAAAGTTTCAGTAAAAATCCTTCCAGCTGCACAGCATCTGATACCAGAGGAAACAATCATCCAAAAAACATGTGATTTACATCCAGAAAAAGAGGAATTAAAGTTTCCAAAAGCAAAATCTCAGAATGAAAGTAACAGAGCTGCTCCAACATGCAGCCACCTTGAGTGGCACAATTCTAGAACTTTAGCTTCTTGAAAACGTTAGCTGTTTAGAGATGACATTTTCTACAACTTCAGAAACCGTAAGTATAAGTACAAAATTCAATTCAGTTCAGTTTATTTATATAGCGCCAAATCACAACAAAGTTGTCTCAGAGCACTTTACAGAAACATTCACATAAAAGCCAATTAGTAAAGTTCTCTATCTAATGAATCCAGCAGACAAGATGAATCTTGGCTTCGTTGCAGTCTCCCATCCTGAGCAAGCACAGTGGCAACAGTGGAAAGGAAAAACTCCCTTTTAACAGGAAGAAACCTCCAGCAGAACCAGGATCAGGACAAGCGGCCATCTGCTTTGACCGGCTGGTTTGAGTGGACAGGAAGGAGAGACAGACAAACATAGAATGGTAGGTCCAGGTATAGGTCCAGGTGTATCTGAAAGACAAAACAACACATGTTAAGGATAGAAAAATAATTACAAAGACAAAACAGGTTGAGCAGAGTAAGCAAAGACAGTAGCAGAGTGAAAATTGTGGTCAGTTTGTCCTCCAGCAGTCTAAGCCTATAGCAGCATAACTAAGGGACAGCTCAGGGAACCCAAGCCGACTCTAACTATAGGATTTATCAAAAAGGAAAGTCTTAAGCCTAGTCTTTAAACTGGAAACAAAAATAATCAGAGCTTTATCACATCCATACACCAATGGGACACATATCAGAAGCCATGAGGGGTTCAGTGTCTTGCCCAGGGACATTTCAACATGTGACTGCTGGTGGAATCGAACCCTCAACTCTCCCACTGGAGGACAACTGTTCTAACCACTCAGCCACAGCCGCCCCAGGAGCAGAGGGAAACATTTTAAGTACCAAAATAAGAAAAAAATCTGGGCAATCCTGAAGTTATGCTCTTTGTTCAACAATAATCAATAATCAGAGGCTGTAAGGGTTTTCTTGAGAGTTCTGTGTGTTAAAGCTTCCAGCACACTGGACCATCATTCAGCCGAACCAGGAAACTATGATCCGTGTCTGATTTCATTTGATCAAACATTATTCTTCTGCATTACTTCAGCTGAATAAAACATCATCTTCATTTCTCACCATCCATCCATTATCTTTACCCGCTTCTTCCTTTTCGGGTCACGGGGGTCACTGTGCGAGAGGCGGGGGGCACCCTGGACGGGTCGCAAGTCCATCACAGGGACACATAGAGACAAACAACCATTCACTCTCTCGCTCACACCTAGAGACAATTTAGAGTTACCCATCAGACCATTTGAACTGAATCAAGCTTGAAATGTTCCTTCTCTGCTTTCACAGACATGGTCCACCTCGAGCCAACGAGTCCGAGTCAGAGAACAGCCAGCAGAGAATCTGATGACTCCAGGGAGGCAACACCTGCACAGGTATGTGCTCACATCAAGCGCAGGCTGAAACAGGAGGGAGTGTAAAGATTTTGAAATTTCCATTGGAGACAAAGTAAGTTTGGCTGGACAGAACTGAAAACACTGAGATGCTTTTTTTTTTTTAATTAAAAAATTAAAAAAACATTGTAAAGCAACAAGATTTACAAATGGACCCAAATTATTTGAGTAGACTTCTGGTTCTGCTGCAGAAAGTACTGGAATACATCCTTTTCTGGAAGCTGTTTGGTTTGACTTTCCTGTCTGTTGTCACACACATGGTATTTTACATGCTTTTAAAAATTTATAACTATATTATTTTTATTATTAAATGGAAATCTTTGAACATTGTTTCTCTTGAGTTTCTATATTTAAAAAGCAAACGAACATTAAATAGTATCTCCAAACTGTGCTGACAGTTTTCTGATTGTGTTTGACATCATTAATGGATGAATTCAAGCAGCAGTATTTGACTAAAATACAGGGTAATGTTTTATATACACTTATTTGTCAGTAAAAGAAAACCAGACTAGTTGTGACTGAAAATTTAGAGAAAATAGGTAAATTTTTCTTTGCATCGTTTGCAGCCAGGGAGCTGTGCAGCCTAGTTTTACGTGGCTGCACAGAAAATCAAAGTCTATTTCGTGTGCACATTATTTTGTTGCCAGCATTGGACCTCCCTGGGTCACATGGTTGTACCCCCTTCCACTACCAGGTTTATAATTTAATGTTCTAGACTACTCTTTTGAAATGATTGACAGATTAGACCTGTTTTTTTAAATAAATATTTATCATCAACATGGATTTTAGACCTGGACATGTTTTCTGTCCAGACAAGTGTCAAAATACAACTCCAGGGCTCTTGAGCCAGGTTTGAGATGCCCACAACCAAACTGAAGGGTTCCAGATGAGATACGATGGGACTTTATTGATCCCACAGGAAATTGTTGTGCCAGAGTTTCAGTACAAAGAAGAAAAAGGTATTTTCCTACTCAGCTCCTGCACCTGGAACACCTTGCAGGAACTGAAGTTTGTCCACCTTGATTTATTTAAGAGGTTTCAAACATTTGATAATGTCAATGGAAAAATCAAAGCACGTATGTTCTTATTTTTAGTATTTCACCCTGTTTTATTGTTTTGCACACTACTCTTATTTTAACTGCATTTTTACTATAGTTTATTGTAGTTGTTGTCTGTACTTTACATGTTCTGTCTGGAACAGGTCTCTCTTGTAAATGAGTCCTCGTGGCTCAATGAGACCAGCCTGTATAAATAAAGATTGAATGAACAAAGGAACATACACAAGGAGTCACACAAGATATTAAAAATAACTGAGAATATAAAAATAACAACAATTAAGTTCTAAACCGGTGCAGACAGACACATTAAAGAGTTTATTGTAGTACAGGATCAATTTTATTGTTCTATGTGCAGAAAGGGGAGGAGTTGAAAAGTTTGATATCCACAGGGAGGAAGGACTTCCTGTGTTGTTCTGTGGAGCACCTCGATGGTCTCAGTCTACGACTGAAGGTGCTGCAGTAAGAGTCCAGGGTGTCATGCAGGGGGTGTGACGTGTCGTTCTGGATCTGGAGCAGTTTCCTCAACATCCTCTGCTCAGACACGTCTGTTAGAGACTGCAGGTCCACTCCCAGAACTGAACCAGCTCTCCTGATGAGTTTATTGTTGGTATCAGCTTTCTTCACCCTGCTGCTCCAGCACACCACAGCTAGAAGAAGATGCTGGAGACCACCGAGTGGTAAAACATCTGCAGCATGGTCCTGCAGATGTTAAAGGACCTGAGTCTCCTCAGAAGAAAAAGGTGACTCTGTCCTGTCTTGTAGAGGGTGTTGGTGTTAGCTGTCCAGTCCAATTTATTGTCTAGGTGGACCCCCAGGTACTTGTAGCAGTCCACAGAGTCCACCTTAGTTCCCTTGATGTTGATAGGGGTGAGGGTGTGGGGGGGTGGTCTTCTTCCTGTAGTCCACCTGCAGCTCTTTAGTTTTTCCAACGTTGAGTTGCAGGTGGTTCTGTCCACCACACTTGTATTCAGCTTCCTGGTCACCAGTGATGCAGCCCACGATGGGTTGAAGACACCCACGTTAAAATGGGGAAGGGTTCAAGAGGAGCTGAAGGTTTTGAAGATGACTGTGTTGAAAGTGGTAAACGTTCAAGATAAAATGAGACTCATGACCATGCTGTATTCTGAGAGAAAAATATGTTGCATCTTTTTTTTACATGTTCCACATGTCAGTAACATGACTGAGCCTCCCTGACTCAGGTGAGGAAGATGAGGGCTTCCACAAATATTGTGAATCATTTTGTAGAATCAGTCATGAAAGCCATTTGCCAACTAGTCCAAGTTAAAGGACTTCAGGAGGGCTCCGTTTAAGGCTCAGAATATTGTTAAATTAAACAATACAGAGTTGCTTAAAGTGATCCATTTTCTTATGTCTGTTGTTTTGAGGTAAATACAGGCCAAATATCTTAAATACTGCCGCACACTTGTTCTTTCCACATTGTTGTCATCCTTCAATACACCCCCACTGACACTTGTTAATGGTCGTAAGACATGATCATTGCACTCGTTTCATCTCAGACATCGAATGATTAGTGATTTTTTTATTTGGATGTGTGTGATTCAGAGCCGAGCAGCCTGTACCCCTCCTCGCAGGAAACCACTGGAGAGTGACTTTGAGACTATAAAGCTCATTAGTAATGGCGCCTATGGGTAAGACAGACCTCTGTTTGGCTACAAGTGGGAAAAATGAGGAACTTTCTGTGGAAACATGTCATTATTTTAATCTTCGTTTCATTTGCTGCCTTCTCTCCCATGTAGAGCTGTGTATCTGGTGCGGCACAAGGAAACTCGTCAGCGCTTTGCAATGAAGAAGATAAACCGACAAAACCTGATTCTTAGGAACCAAATCCAGCAAGTTTTTGTCGAGAGAGATATCCTGACCTTTGCTGAAAACCCATTTGTGGTTTCCATGTTCTGTTCTTTTGAGACGCGAAGGCACCTCTGCATGGTCATGGAATATGTTGAAGGTAGATCTGCAAACTGCAAATTACTACACACAAGAAGGGCTATGATGATGATGATGCACTCTTAAAGACCCGTTCCCACGGAAACAGTGTTTTTAGAGCCTCTAAATGAAAAGGATGGAAAAACAATCATCTTACAATACCACCCTGTGTTTTCATGTAGCTCAAAAACATAACCTACTAATAGACCGGACTACTGTCTCCACCGTCCCTTGTTGGGAACTGGACCCAGCAGGAACCGTTTTATCAAAGCTGGCACGCTATATTTGTGCAGCCAAAGTTTGTGCACTAGTGACGAGGAGCTTTAAGCCCCACCTACTTCCCCACAATCAATCTTGGTGTCACATTAAGTCTTGAAATACACTGCTTGGCCAAAACAAGTCTCCACCTGGATTTAACTAAGCAAATGGGTACGAGCCTCCTATTGGATAATTACTGCAGGGATGATTATCTTTCAGCTGCAACAAGTTATTTAACCCCAACTGGTGCAATGAGTTGCTTCTCATTTCTTAAACAACCATGTTGTAAGACACATCGTGTGGTCGTGGAAAAGATGTCAGTCTGTTTGAAGAGGGTCAAATCATTGTCATCAAGCAGAGAAAACATCTAAGGAGATTGCAGAACCTACTAAAACTGGGTTAAGAACTGTCCAACGCATTATTAAATTATTAAAAACTGGAAGTATAGTAGGGACCCATCGTCTTTGAGGAAGAAATGTGGCCGGAAAAAAATCCTGAATGATGGTGATCTGCGATGACTTAAACGTTTGGTGAAATCAAATAGAAGAAAAACAACAGTAGCACTCAGGGCTGTGTTTTATAGTGAAAGTAAGAAGATTTCCACACATACAATGTGAAGGAACTCAAGGAACTGGGACTGAACATCTGTGTAGCCTTAAGAAAACCACTAATCAGTGAGGCTAACTGGAAAAAAAAGGCTTCAATTTGTTAGGGAGCATAAAGATTGGACTCTGGAGCAATGGAAGGAGGTCATGTGGTCTGATGAGTCCAGATTGACCCTGTTCCAGAGTGATGGGTGCATCAGGGTAAGAAGAGAGGCAGGTGAAGTGATGCACCCATCATGCCTAGTGTCTAGTCATCAATGAAAGATCTTGGTGAAAAATTACTGCAACACTGGATGGAAATGGATCTTGTGACATCGTAGAAGCTTATTGAAACAATGACACAGTGAATGCATGATGTAATCAAAGATAAAGGAGGTCCAATGAAACATTAGTGTAACATTTTTTTTTTGGTGGCAACTTTTTTTTGGCCAGGCAGCGTATTTTCACTGCATTAGTTACAGCTAAACTTATTTGAAAAAATTGTATTTAAGTCTAAACAAGGCAAGAAGTTTGCGAATCTAGAAAAATACCCGAGGTGTGTGTTATTCTGTAATAAAGGCAATGTCCTGCTTGTTTTTATGGAGGGCGTGGGTGTTAAAGCTCAGACTGGAACCAGCCAGGAAGCTGCTCCTGGACTGTGTTTAACATCTGGGTTAGGTTCAGAGGTCTTATTGTTTGCAGTCTGTAGTGTGAACAGATTGTTGATGTCCCCCTTCCCACTTAAACACCAAGATTACTTCATCTTGATAATTGACAATAATTGCATATTAGCCTATGATATAAATGCTAAAGTGTACGGCAGGGCTATTCAACTAAATTACTCAGGGGGCCACAGTTACTGAAAGCCAAGAGCTCAGGGGTCAGACATCCTGCAGTTATTGTCATTAAGTTTGTTTTACGGTTTAAAATCTAGTTTTATTTAATATTTAATCCATTGTTGGGCCAAACTGAGCACAGCCATGGGCCTAATTTGGTCCCCGGGCCACCAGTTGAATAGTCCTGGTGTACAGTATTTAAAGCCTAACGCTCGTCCCTGTTTAAACAATAATGTTGTAAAACTTTCTTGTTTTCTGTTTCTGGTGCATTTTTGTGAACATGTTACAGCACCGAACAGACCTAGCATAAGTATTACAGCAATTGGGACCGTTTTTTGTTTCCATGCAGATGAAAACATTTCTCATAAGGTTTAACAGAGTTTATTTTTTATTTTTTAGAAACGACTAAGTGTTTTGGAAAGAAAATTTTCTTGTGTGGATGGGACCTCAGACGCTTGCTTTAAATGTACTGTCCCATGTAAAACTCATTTTCTGTGCATGTGGCCGGCCTCACTGTCTGTTTGACCTCCTCTTGTTCTCAGGTGGGGACTGTGCCAACCTGTTGAAGAACATCGGTCCTCTCCCTGTGGACATGGCCAGGATGTATTTTGCAGAGACTGTCCTTGCTTTAGAGTATCTTCACAACTACGGCATTGTGCACAGAGACCTCAAACCTGACAAGTGAGCCAGTGCCAGCTAAACAAAAACAGTATTTACCAGTTTACCTCTACTCACACATTTTTTTCCAGTCGCTGAAAGGATAATCTATGGATGCATCCTAAACTACTGCACAGACTTTATTGAAAGGTTCTGAAAATACTTATTGATCAGCTGCAGCGGATTCACTTTTGGAGCTAGTTTAACTCAAGACGTCTGCCAGGCAGCATCATCCGTCCAACGACTGACCGACCACTAACATTTGATATAATAGTAGCTAGTAGCTAACATCTCGTTGACATGGCATGAGATCAAGCAGAACATTATTTTCAAGGTTTTACCACATAAGATATTAGCATAAACGTTGGTGGGTGATATTCACTCCAGGTTTTTTCTGAATCTAAAAACATAAACTCTGAAGTATTGTGAAGTATTTCTGCTTTCTCCATGTGTAGTTTGTTAATCACCTCCATGGGACACATCAAGCTGACAGACTTTGGTCTGTCAAAGATCGGCCTGATGAACATGACGACCAACTTGTATGAAGGACACATTGAAAAAGATACCAGAGAGTTTATTGACAAGCAGGTTCGTACCTCTTCTTGTTTTGTTGTTGAATTGTATTTTATAACCGAAGCACACAATAGTTTTGGTTCCTTTGTTCTTGTGTTCAGGTGTGTGGTACTCCAGAGTACATTGCTCCTGAGGTGATCCTGAGACAGGGCTATGGGAAACCTGTGGACTGGTGGGCCATGGGCATAATCCTGTATGAGTTCCTTGTGGGCTGCGTGCCGTTCTTTGGAGACACACCAGAGCAGCTCTTCGGTCAAGTGGTTAATGGTAATCCCACCTGCCTCTAATAATTATTCCTGTTTGCTGAGTGGTCTCTTTATTTTGGTCTTTGAAGATACATCCTTGGATTATTGGTATGCTTCTTTGTTCAGATGAGATCATTTGGCCAGAAGGAGAGGATGCATTGCCGACTGATGCCCAGGATCTCATCACCCGACTGCTACGGCAGAACCCTTTGGAGCGTCTTGGAACAGGTTGGTGAGCCTTACTTAGTGTTATGGACTTGTGTTGGTCAAGAAAAGGAGCAAAAAATGTTTGTTATAATATGAAGGGTCTCAGAAAGAGACAATACCCTGGAAAATTTATGAGTGTAAATGTAAAGTTGCTTCTCCACTCTTCTTAGACTACGCCTTTGCTCATATGGTCACAGTTTCACAGCTTTTTGAGGTGGGGTTTGTCCAGTAAATGATGGTTGGGGTGGAGTTTGTCCAGTAAATGATGGTTGGGGTGGAGTTTGTCCAGTAAATGATGGTTGGTAGCAGCACGCCATCTGGTAAAACTGTTTTTGTTGTTTAAGTGTACTGCAGGCTCAAAGTTGACAGAAATCTTCTTGAAGCTTCTTTGTTTTGACCCACTTCATTTTCACTAGGAGCTAAGCAGCATTCTGTAAATGCAGATGTTTTACCTCCTGATAGCACCATCTGCCAAATTGTACCTTTTCAGCTTTGGTACCCATACCTTTTTGGATATGAACAGAAGTTGTCTGTCACTGGATCAGAAAAAAATGCAGTTATTGATAACAAGGTATGAAGATCCTAAAATAAAAAGAAAAATTGTATTTACTTTCTCTGTATTTGATGCATGCAGCATAAGCAGTGATGCTTTAAAAGTCCATGTATTTCCCATAAAAGTGAGCAGGAGTGACCTGCGGTAGCACTCTTTCCTGCACCGGGGATGTAAACGTCTCGTGCTGAAGGAGCTGCTCAGGGATTACAGTGCTGTGTAAGGGGGCAGCGTGCAGCCCCGGACAGAGCTGGCTCCTAATCAGTCTAAGCCTCATCCCGTCTCTCCACACTGCTCTCACCCCAGCACAGTTTGTGTAGAACTGCAGAGGCCACCAGAGTGATTTAAAGTACGTGGATCAGAGCCCCACACACGGAAGGACCTGAGTCTTCTCAGGTGTGTTCAGATATGTCTCTGTAAAACACACAAGGCTCACTGTACTCCTGCTGCAGCTGATTAGCACCAATCATTTGTCCATCTTGTTGGAAACAGAGCAGTTTCCATAGTAACAGTTGATACACATGGTTTATACTTGTAGTTTATACTCTCTTTCAGCGTTTACAACCAGCTCTACAGGCTCTCTTTTTCCTCCTGGTGTCCGGTGGAATCACTGGATTCTTAGTGTTGAGTGATCCAGTGTGGCTAAAGACCTAACAGCTGGTCTCGTGTATAAGCAAATGTCTAGAAGTGACAATACTCCCAAAACAGAGACGTACTTCATTCTTCAGCTAATTATTTTTTAACTTAATCTACCGGTGCTTCAGACCGCAGCCCATAAGCACAAGACTTGAAACAGATTTCTTTCTTCTTCTTTTTTTTTTTTTTTAGCTCCTATACATCTAAAATCTAACTGACTTTGATTAAAATGATCACGTGACCAAGTGAATTGTGATTATTTCTCAGGTGGAACCACAGAGGTGAAGGTGCACATGTTCTTCCTGGGCCTGGACTGGAACGGTCTTCTGAGACAAAAAGCTGAGTTCATACCTCAGCTAGAGTCAGAGGAGGACACCAGTTACTTTGACAGTAGGTGGATTATTAGACACATAATCACATCTTTCATATGTTATTAAAAAAGACTCCCAACTAATATGCGTCTTGACTGCTGAGGTGCACCAGGGAATCTGCTTGTTACTGCTCCAGCTTAGGGATGGGCGATGTATCGAATACACTCGATGTATCGCATATACTCATCATACCAAATATACTCGATACATCTTAATATACTCAATGTGTCACAAGTTGTTCATTTTACGATGATTAAAATGGCTTGAAAATCCGTGTAGTTCTTTTTCTCCCGTCTGCTCCAACTGCACACGGCCCCTCCTCCCTCACTGAACACCAACAGCCCCTCGTGCTGCTTCACACACGCTGACCAACGTCGTGAAGGCAGCGCAGCGGAAGAGGATTTTTATTTAATATATGTAAATAGTTTAATTTTTTTTACATTTATTTTGTAAAGTTACAGCTGTTTGTTAAATGTGCCTGTGTGACAACTGCGACAAAGCTTTGACTCAGAAATATATTTTTGTTATCTATGAAGAAAAAAATATATATATCGCGATTTATCTTAAAAATATCGAGATATTAATTTTGGTCCTTATCGCCCAGCCCTACTCCAGCTTCTTTTTGTCTGTTAACACTCCAATTGTCCAATTATTTATTTATTTTTCTCTGGCCAGTAAACAGGTTACTCTGGCAGCAGTCCGTCTGTGTGTGGAAGTAAATATGAAGTGAAGAAGACTTGAAGTTAGCTGTATGTGCTGTCGACAGACATTTAAAAATAAACTCAGAAGCAGCACAGATGGTGGGGAGGCGACTAAAAGAATGGATTTCTACAGAGGAAACTGTTGGAGACTGCTGTTACTTTTAGCAAAGCTAACTGTGCTACACACCCTGATAGATGTTAAAACACTGAAGCAGTGACTCGTCTCGTTTTATTAAAAATAGTGTTTTACTGTTGAGCTGTTTCCAGCTCTTTCTCATGGTGTGATGTCACCTCTGCTCCTATTAGCGACTGATCACCATTCACAGCAGGAAGGGTGAAAGTGTAGATACAATAAAATGAACACATTATGACCTTGTTATCCAACGGGTCTAGTTTGTTTCTCAAACATCTGTTGAACATGGTGGAAATTGGAGATCTTGTAGAAAAAATGAATAAATTTGTGCACTAATGTTTTGAGATGTGCACCAAAACATGAACATGTGAAGAAGCTGTAATCTGTTTTCTCTGCAGTACTGTAATTATTTTCCTGTTGGGTTTTATTTGTCCAAATAGCTGTTTACTTTATTAATCAGGAGAATATTATTTGTAGAATTCCAGTGACGGAGAACACTGCTGCTGCTTTTTTACTGTAAACATTTATTTTACTGTCACGCTGTGGTTCCTAAGATTATCAGCCACATTTTCACATCAATCAGAAGTTGGGAAAAATAAATCTAAAAAACAAACAAACTTTGAAAAGCCAATTTCATTTAATTTAGTGAAATCATGACTGACTGCAGCTGATCCTTAGTCAGTCATTAACTGCAGATTATCTCTAAAACATACATTTTAAACTCCAAACTATCTACTTCATTAAAGCTGACTGTTTATAGTCAGCAGAGAAAACTGGAATAATAATTGAATACTTTTAATTTTGCCTAAGGTCTGTAAGTGCAGTCTAACCTACTTGATGGGTAAAGATGGAACAGCAGCCAGATTATGGTTAACAGTATGAGCAGAAGCGTGAAAGGTGTCAGTCCTTTAATACTGGACCACCTAACACCCCCCTCCACAAACTGAACCCCAGAGGCTACAGTGCAGCAGGTTAAACTGATGATGCAACATGAAAGCAGTTTTTCATTTAGTTATAAATCAAAACGTGTATTTTGTACTGAAGGTATCTTGGAGAGATCTTGCCTTACAACAGGAAGGTTGCAGATTCAAAATTTGCTGCTGCTATTCTGGGTGGAGATTGTTCAAATTCAGTTCAATTCAAAAATACTTTATTAACCCCAAAGGGAAATTACATGTTGTTGTAACTCGTTATCCTCGTGTCATAGAGATGTTATAGATGCTGATGGCTGTAGGCAGGAAGGGGTCTCTTGTAAAAGTCCATCCCACAGCGGATCTGAAGAAACTGGCCACAGATGACGTCCATTCCCTTCACCCAGACTTGGCTGGCCTCTCGGTTCCCCCGGGCTGCAGGATCGCTGGAATGCTAGGCAGAACTCCTCCCGAGAGCGATGGTCACTCCTCCCAGCAGACTGCCGAGCTCCTCGTCTGTGCAGACATCCAGCTGCAGATAAAGGGGGATGATCTCGGTCCATCTATAGTCACAAGCCATGTTTTCTGCCAGCTCCAGGTTCTCAGTGGTCAGACACTCGAGCACAGCCGGCAGGTAGATGGGAATGCATCCACGGGGCCTCCTTTTCAACTCATTTGAGATTTGGGGCTGTAGCTGAGATATTATTTGAGCTTTTGAAATGTTGATCAGCTGCTTCCGGTTGTAAAAAAAAAACAAAAAACCAGCTTGTTGTCATGGTTATGCATCATAACAAATTTCCAAAAGTAAAATGTTTCAGTAAAAATCCTTCCAGCTGCTCAGCATCTGACACAAGAGGAAACAATCATCCAAAAATGTGATTTACATCCAGAAAAAGAGGAATTAAAGTTTCCAAAAGCAAAATCTCAGAATGAAAGTAACAGAGCTGCTCCAACATGCAGCCACCTCAAGCGGCGCAATTCTAGAACTTGTTCTCCCCAAGCATAAGTGGGTTTTCTCTCCAGGTACTCCACAGATCAGAAAACGTGCATGTTAGACTGATTGGCGACTCTAAATTGTCCCTAAATGTGAGAAAATGTGAGAGTGAATGGTTGTTTGTCTCTGTGTGTCCCTGTGATGGACTTGCAGCCTGTCCTGGGCGTCCCCCGCACCTCTCACAGTTCCTGCTGCAGATGGACAGCAGCTCCAGTGACTCTACACAGAAAACAGTAAAAACATGGACGGATGGATATTTTATTTTCTGTTAATGTCAGTTCTTTAGAAATCTGTATCACCACACAAAACTGGAATTTTTGCATCTCTGGACACAAATGAATCTTTGGTAGAATTGTTTACCAGCTGGAACGTGATTCCAGATGTTTGGTGTTTTTCTGACTTATGTCTCAGTATAAATGTGAATAAAATATGCTTCCTGCAGTGCGTTCAGAGCGGTACTGTCACGTAGCCTCAGATGAAGATGATGAAACCAACGATGATGAATCATCTCTGGAGCTCAGGCAGTTCTCTTCTGTTGCCCATCGTTTCAGCAAGGTGCGTCTAACCACTCTCAGTTGTTTCATGTTGGTTATTCTGGATAAAATGACACATTATTGAAGATGGAAGAAAATCTATTTTGTAACATCCCAACCTAGGTGTACAGCAGCACAGAGCACCTGTCCACATCCACCCCGTCCAATCAGAGTCTATCCTCTTCGGAGCGAAGCCACAGTGAGGAGAAGGAGGAGCGATGGGACGTCAGGGGGGTCCCCTCTCTTGGTGATGGACACAAACACTTGGCTGGTGGAGACAAGAGGGCAGATGGACACAGAGGGAGGTGAGAGCTTCATAACAAACAATCTGACAACGGGAAGAAAGTTAAAGCCTCCCTTTTGTATAATTTTCCCTCCACCTGTTTGCTCTAAAATGTTTTCACATCATATCAATTGGAAATGTTGCAGGAAAACCTCATTAAAGATACTTCTCTAGAATTAACTGCTACTATAAAACAATGTATTATAAGTGTTTTTAAAGTGAAATGTTCATGTGTAAAAAATGGTTCTGATAAATGGACTGTACTTAAAGGTACATTTTACAATTAAAGGTTGAAAAAGTTAAACTCCTATATTGTATAGATTCGTTACACATAGTGAAATATTTCAAGCCTTTATTTCTTGTCATTTTGATGATTACAGATAATGAAAAACCAAAACTCAAGTGTGTCAGAAATTTTGAATATTGTGAAAAGTTCCATTTTGGAAACTCGGCACATTCTGCACCGACAAATCCTGGTGATTCCTCGCGTCAAGCCACTCCTGAACCAGACTGAATGAAGAGAAAAATATTGAACTTTTTCTTGATATTTAAATTTTTTTAGATATACCTGTTTATAACACCTTTCTGTCCAACCAGGAGACTCGGCGTGCTTTACAAAACAATCTGTGCCTCATTTACGTATCCATACAGCACTCTACTGTCTATGCAAAACTGTGAATAAATAGTTCTATAGAGACTAATCAGTGCTTCAGATCACATTCATTCACCAATGGGACATGCATCAGAGGCAGGGAGGGGTTCAGTGTCTTGCCCAGGGATAC